ATTGTCTTTCTAAGTTGGTGTTGTTATTTTTTGTTACTCTATTGCTTTCCTTAAAGTCGTTTGTATAGTTTCTTAGTTCTAGTTAGCAATAATTTGCTAGTTTTCTTTTTGACTAAATTTGGTATGAAGGATAAATGGAAAGAGTTCGTGAATTAACATGTAAAGAGAAAGTTTTAGATATAAGATTCTAATTATAATTTTTATAAAGTTTTTAAAGATTCTAAATATTTTTACTTAGAATACTTAATCCTATTTATATAATTAGTATATTTTTCTTTCTTCTAATAATGCAAACACTAAATATAAGAAAAAAGAATCTTTATTTAAATAATATATACAAGATATGCTGGCAAGAATTAGAGACTGCTAACTACTAGGCTACATGTAAAGAGTTACAAAAGATATGTAATATTATTAAAAAAAAGGCACAAAATATCTCTTGAAGAAGACTAAAAGAGACAAAGTAAATTTGAAAATTACAAATATGTAAAAGATTTAGGGTCTGATATATAAAAAAAGATAAACAAGAAAAAATCTTTATAAGAATAGAACTAATAAAAGGCTTAATTATAAGAAGAAAAAAGAAAAACTTTGACAAGATTTTAAATAAAATAAGAAAGATTAGCAACTTTATTCAAAACATATTAGACTACTTTTGGTAGCAGTTCTACAAACATATTTGAAGCTTTTGATGTGAATTGGTAGCAGAATAGGAAAAAGTAAATAATATAATAAAAGAAAAGAAGAGAGATAAAAAAGGAGAAAAAACATCCTATACAGGAAAAAAAGAAAATGAAAAAAACAAGGTCAGTTCAAAAACTGGTTGTGGGAAGAACCTACTAGACAAAGAAACAAGTAGTACTAAAAAAAGCTAGGAAAAAAGGTTAAAAAAAGAACAGAACAAAATTATCAAAGCCTGAAATACATAGGAGAAAAAACTGGCATGATCGTCTCTGGTAAAGGTTTGGCAAAGTAAATAAGCATTACTAACAAGACATACAACAGCCTACTTATGAACTAAGGAGGGTATCAAAAATAGTATGAAATTCTTAGTAAGTTAAGGAAGTAAACAGTTGTTATGGCAAATCATACTAGGTTTAACCTGAAGAGTCTTTATTAGATTAGAACAATAAGTTATAAGAATTTTAGTACATTAGTGTATATAAATTATATAGCAGTTTATATAAATAAAGGCAGGATTGCTTATAAAAAAAATTAGTGTTTTTGAAAAATAACATATTATATATACAGTTTAGTAAACTTAATTTATAAAATAATTAATTTTTTATAAGAATTTTTTTTATATTAATTTTGTTTTTTGTTTTTTTTAGTATCAAGTTTACAGTATATTATCAAAAAAATTTTTATTTAAATATTTAAATTTTAAAAATAATAAATCTTATACAAATTTGCCTGAAATTTTCTACAGTTTAATGAATAGTAAAATAATATATATATATATAATAATAATAATAATTGTAAATTTCATCTAAATTATTAATAAAATTGGTTTAAAATATTTTTGCTCAAATATATAAATTTAACAACTAAGTTATAAATTCAACCTAAAAAATTTAGTGAATTTTACGGTCGATAATCTATACTATATATAAAATATAGATTTTCTAATATAAGGCAACTCGCCAGAGGCGTGACGTGGTTCATATAAAGGAATTATTATCGGGTTAGTGAGCTTATGTGCCCCTTCCTCGCACATAAATGTCGTAACCAACCTTAACCAAGTTATGTCCTTTTTATCAAAGAACTAATGAGGCTTAAACAGAACTCACCTTATTGTATAAGGTTTAATTTCTATCGGCCGAGGTATGCCGCGAATTATCTGTGCCTTCGGGGGCTAAATTATAAACAGTTTATCGATGATGTCATTTTAGCCCGTGACATTAGCTATTTGTGATAATAGGGTGGCTTCTAATTTTAAAATTTCTTTTTATAATTCGAAAATAACAGATAACATATATGTCGTACGTACGTCAGAACGAAATTATTGTAGATTTAGAATCCATTTAGGTTGGAACGGAATTCCAAATATGGTCCAAGTTGATACGAAATTTAAAAGCAACTTAAGTCGATTCTATATTTGATCTATATAATCGATAAATTTAAGTTGATTTTAAATCCAATACTGTAATAAATCATGGATATATAGTCAAGATAAATACAAATCTTTTATTATTTCTTTTTTTTTATTTCACTTTTTCAATTTTTGCATTTACCTGTTAAATTATCCATTTTTACCCCATAATGTATTCAAAGAATTGCTTTTCAAATATTTTAATAATGAGTCGGCAAATAGGCAACATAAAACCTTAACGTGAAGGCTTTTTGTTTTTGTATTAAGGTTTTACAAGATTCAGCAAATACAACAATCGGGGATGCGAAAAATCGTTATTTGGCAAAAAAATCCATTTGCAATGCGTGATTAAAATAGAATTCTTTTAATGTTCATAAGCATTCAAAAAGCATCTATCATGCAATCCTCTTCACAAGTAGGTAATATTAAATGCAATTGCAAAAATGCATGAGATAAAATCGCTGTAAATGTAAAAAATAAAGTACCCTGTAAGAATAGCTGCTATCTCACTATAAAACTTTGTGTCATGCTTTTAAATTTAATTAATTCGCAATGCACTGTGTTATGAATAAATCCTATCTTAAAGTGATTTAAATTCCAAAACAACGTACTCGATGAAATACACAATTTTTTTGTACGACTCGGGCGCATTTTAGAATTCTATTGTATTACAAACTATGTTTATTCAAATTCGATTGGCTGCAATATTATGTGATGAATTACCTGGCACAGAATTATAACACTTGTGCTAATAAATACGTACGCCAGTTTTGTAGATCAGTATGACCAGTTTTTTAAATATTTACAGTATACTGATACACATGCACAAAATGGCATTTCTATTTTTATCTACCAACGTTAGATGATACCTTGGCAAAGCATGGCTAAAGTTATGGTTCTGTAGTTAGGCGCTAGAGCAATTCTCTCTATCGAGACTATTACATTTAAAAGTATCAAATTACTTCGAATAAAATCTTCGAACACAGTCTACTCTGGATATAATGAACTCTGCGAGTCTGTGTAAAAACTTTTCAGAAGTTCCTTATAGGATAGCTTACTATGTTTTTTATACCGAACTTTAAAGAAAAGTTCATTATAGAGCGAGTTTGTTATAAAAAGGTTTATTAGGTCCGGAGTTGTGTATAAGAAATGAACTATAAAGAGAATTCATTTTCTAATTTCTAATGGTTTATATCCAGTGGTCAGGAAAAAAAAATTCAAATATTCACTTCGTTTATCGATCAAGATCTCAGATATCAAAATTTAGTTGCTTTTCTTTTACACGATTTGATATAATTATCGGTATTGTTGATTGGAAGCTTCCAATGAAATCAGAATCCCCAATAGATAAATTTTTTTTAACCGATCAAAGTTAATACGCCTTATGATACAATAAATGACCGTGACTTACCAATTGACAAATTATAATCGTTTATCTATATAAATTAGGGATTCGTTATAGAATATAGAGATATATTGCTTAAGAAGGTTAGTCTGCTTTATTTGATCGACCAATCAAAATCAGTACTTTTTTTAGTTCTTCAAATAACAACCAACTTTTTAATATAAAAAAGTTTTGTCCAATTAAATCTTTTTTTACAGAAGGCTCTAACAAAGGCTTCGACTAATTGGATTCTTATTTATTGCAACACATGATAATCTATAGAGTAGTGCAAAACGTGCGCACGACTTTATTAGAAATCAGTTAGCCAATCATTTTAATTATCATTAAATTGCATCTGTATGAAGTATAATACGTGAGTACAGTACATACAAAAAATTTTCGTCGTCTTTTGAAAAACCTCATATTTTCGCTATAAACAATCTATTTCACAATAATCACAACTATTAGTGATACTTTAAATCAAAAATTACAAAAATTAACAACGTGTCTTCAAATAAGTACTCATGGCGGTCAACATGAATATGATACAAATGAAAGATATGAGTAGTAGTAGTAATTTTACTACTACTGCCGTTTCACCTCAAGAACAACGTTTGGTTGCCTGTTTGTCGAAAAAAACATCTGCTACTGCAAGCAAAAGGGAGTGCTATTATTATTCTACCTGTAAGTTATGTTTTAACAAACTGTTTCGAGTGCGATCATAATTTATGTCCTAACATGGATTTTATGTGACAAAACAGTGGGTAAAAAGGCCGGGTGGTGTTCCTGTAAGTGTTTTATCTAAATGATAAAATTATAAAAACTTTATCTTTAATTTCTGATTTTAACATTTAATCACATATATAATACATATCAATGTAGGACATGACTCCCGAATTTTTCTTGAACTTAGAAGAGCAAGGCTTCCTAACCCGTGATAGTGGCAGTATCGCGGTATCAGGAAGCCTCTGGTGGAGGGGTGATGATGATAATAATAATAACAATATATATAAAAAAAATAAAAAAAAAACATCCTTTGTAGAACAGGTTTTTCGCTCTGGTGCCCCACATGTTGATTATTTTTTGACGATATTATCTGTGCAACAACATGATTGTAAATGGGAAGGTTTTGTTATGAACCGTGTGCTATTTTTAAAGGGCCACGGTTTAAATGTGGTGGAATTGAAAGAGAGGTACACTATTTTTCTATATTTTTATTTTTTTTGTATTGTTTATTATGAATTTGTTTCAGGATATGAGTCATTTATTTCTCTCCAAGATCGCTTCATGCAATTATTAAATTGAATATTTTTTACGCAAAAATGTTTTCATTTTTATCATACAAGCAAGTTTCTGGTTATCTATACAGGTGCTTGTGTTGTTGATAATGAAGCGATCAAGGTGATACTTTATGAAATTATGATTCACATTCTGTTCTAACTTTATTTGATTTTTCGAATGTATTCCTCGCGCTTGCACATATTGTTTTGCGCTTGTGTTGTCATTTCCTGTTTTTTTTTTCAGGTTTGTGGCCATCCTGGAGCTTGCGGAAGAATGCTTAAAATGCAATTCTTTAGTTGTTTGTCTCGACAAAAAATGTCCTCATTTATGTAAGCATATTATTCATTACTATATTGGTTCTCTTTTTAATTATCGCAAATTTTTTATTTTTTTTTATATTTTATCATTAGCTACACTCATTCGTAGTTTCTTATATGTGGGCTTCGAATTGGTATTACCTGGAACTTTTAATCACAATTCCAGTGATTTTCTTCTCGTTGGCATGGAATTGTGATCGCGATCGCGGCCGCGATTGCTTTCGAACTAATTATATACTTGTACATTATATATATATTTTTTTCGCAGTCTTATCATGTTTTTAGTATCATTTTCCTATTAAACCTTCGTTTCATCTTTTATACATTAACATATGTTGAAATTAATCATTTCTGTCAAGTGAGTCATTTGTATATATGTTATCTATTACATGTGTGGTAACTATGAAAAAATGAATTCTTGTCAATTTTTAAAAATTCATGGTTAATACGTCCACTTCCAAAATTTTTATTTACTGTTTATCACAGTTGCTTTGTAAACATTGCTACACAAAACTAATGTAGTTACGATCTTGGCTAGTGTTGTTGTCCGCCCAAGTCGTCGGCTCGGCCGAATAATGATGGGGTAAATTATTAAACTTAGGCGTCGCAACAATCTTGTCACAATAGATTTTCAATCTTGGGTTATTATACATAAATAATATGATTCGCTTACAGCTATTTTCATTATTACTGGAACAACCGATACTCAAATCGATAAATTACCGATAAGTTACCTGCATTGGCCGACATCAGAAACTTATCATAATTTCAGAATTTTTTTTAGTTGTCCCAAAAATAATGAAAATCGCTGTAAAAACTTTTTTTAATTTTGATCATATTTTAGGAATATTACTTACTGTATTACTATTTTTACGTATTAATAATTTAATGCGTAATATATAACTATATATTATTAATATATACTTTATATAATATATATATATATATATATATTTTATATCTACAGTATTTAATAACTAATATAAAAAAACAATTTAAAACCTATGATAGGTCATAAAGGTCATTAAGATCATCGGCCAATACTGAAACAAGAAACTATAACTTACAATTATATTTTTAATAATTTGTAAATATATATATATATATACAGCATTATATATAATTGTTAGATCTACTATTTAATCTTTAGCTAAGCCTCGTCAATTCCTGGCCAGAGACAACAAAATCTTGTATAATCAGCCAAAATACCAATAATGCTTGTCTGATCACATGCACAAATATCTCAACAAACTACAATAAAAAAATACAGTCAGATCTCCCTAAATGCACGTCGTCGGGACCACCTCTAGAGCGTGCATTTAGGGAGGGCTGCAATTAGAAAACTAATAAAATCGCAATTTTACCATTAGCACGTGATAATATGTCTTTAGGGGTGCTTTTATGTACCCATCGAAATTTGATGATCAACCAATCAAATTGTGTAAATTTGGTCATGCACGATGAATCAAAACAAAGCGAAGAAAGCGAAAAATACACAAAATACAAGAAACGGCAGTCCAAAGCAACCTTGAGGTATTAATAAAAAATGTCGGGAAGACGATTTTACATATATAAAGCTTCTTTAACCTTAACCTAACCTTAACTAGACTGCTCTAACTCTAATTTTAGTTAAAAAACAGTAAACAAACTTTTGGTAGGCACATAGATGTATTTGTGTCTTTAGTAGCCTTGAAATAATAGCCAATAATCACGTGAATGCATTTATAAAGTGAGTTTTTATAAGTAGGCCAGACAGTTAGCATGCATTTACAGAATAAATACATGTATTTATTTATAAGTTTTACTATAAACCTGGGTTTAATATTATATACTGTATTTAAAGTATTGCATTTAAAAAGCATGTGTCTAACTGTATATATAGCAATAAAATTGGTATGAAACATTAATAGGACTAATTATAATGGTTTGTTTTTGTATACAGTCAGATCTTTTTAAATATACATCATTAGAACTATTTTTAAAATATATATTTAAAAAAAGTTACAATTAAAAAATATTAATAAAATTGCAATTTTACTATTAGTATATAATAATATGGCTTTAGTAGTCTTGAAATAATAAACATTATTGGCTAGTAATTATGTGAATGTATTTATAAAGTAAGTTTTTATAAATAGGTTAGACAGTTAATATTAGGGTTCCGCAATTCGATTTGATTTGATTTGATTTGATCAAATATTTGATCTCAAATCAAATTCAAATACAGAAATTTCAAATCAAATCAAATTCAAATTGACAAAATATTTGATTCGATTTGAAAATACTTAATAAAAATTACAAATAAATTTGATTTGATTTGAATTTGATTTGATCAAATCAAATTCAAATACAGAAATTTCAAATCAAATCAAATTCAAATTGACAAAATATTTGATTCGATTTGACTTTGAGGAACCCTAGTTAATATATATTTATAGAATAAAGAATATATATTTATTTATAAGTTTTACTATAAACTTGGGCTTATATTATACATTTAAAGGAATACTGCATTTAGAGAGAATGTATTTAAAAAGGTCTAACTGTAGTCAATTGATAGTTTCAACTAATTCTAACCAATCACTATTTCTATCTTTTGGTTAATTATATTATTTTTACATGTTTTTATACTGCTTTAAACAATAAATAGTATTTTATTTTATTTTGCTAATCTTTTTTTTGAAATTGGTTAAATAAAAAAAGAAAAAAATAAGGGTGTAGTGACTTAGTGAAGTAATGTTGTTATACCCCAAATGGTAGGTTTAGAGTTCGAATCCTATGGTTGACATTTTCAAAAAATAGCTTATATCATAGTAATGATCGTAGTGAATCAGTTGAGTCCCAAAACCTGTAATCTTGATAATACCATATTCACATAGGAGCTTTGGTATATAAAAGACCAAGAAACTGCAATGATCAAAACCTGTTTGGAAAGTCCCAAGTTGAAAGTAGCTGTGATTTTTGATGATACTATAGAAAGACTGAATTTGAAACCAGAGACCAAGATTAAAGAACCAAGCAACTAGGTTTTTAAGTAGTAGAACACACTAGCTGAACTACTAACTTGCTACCAGAGAAAAAAAACTTGTACTCCAAAAGCATATACCAAAAGAAAAGAGACTATGAAGCACTTAGAGCCTGGATAGACTGACTTTTTAAGTTGCTAGCTAGAAATAAAAGAGGAACTAATAAGAAATTCAGAAAAGAAAAAAGTTAAAATATGAGTACTGAGGTTGTTGTGAATCTTGCAAGAGCAGAAGTATATAATAAGAACTAATTAGAAAGGTTATAGCTTGAGATACAAATTGGTTTATAGCAGTATCCGAAAAGATAGCTTGAGACATGAACCCGATAATAGTAGCACAACAGGTATTAATTAGAGAAAGTTACCAAATATACAGATAAATACATATGTTAGATATAGACCATTTTGTTAAGTTTACTACAAGAATAAATACTCTCTGGAAAACTAGATTAACTGGTAGCTAAAATCTTAGAGTCTTTTATAATAAATTATTCTGAAAGGATATATTAGAAAAAACATAATATAGGGGTTAAAGTCAGAGAGTATAAAATTGATAGCTTTCTAGTTAAGCTATAGATATGGTGACTAATGTAGAATCTTAAAGCGGACTATTTAAATTAGACAACCAAAAGTTGTATATATAGCTAGTTGTATTCTCATAATACTATTATAATATGTTATATATAATCTTCAGATTAGCAATACTTACTAGTATTAATAAAATACCAAGAGCCTAAGTAACTACCTTGAATATTAAAAAATATATATATATATTATCATATAAGAGAAAAAGCTGAATACTTAGCATAAAATAAATTTATCAAGATTAATAACTTTAGTATTTTAGATAAAATTAAGAGTATAGTTAATATTAAGAATATAAAGTTAAGGTTTTCTCCAACCTTTCCTAACTAGAATTACTTTATTCATTTAAATTAATAATAGTACTGAATAGGGAATAG